GCCACGGTGGCGAATTCCATGCCACTCGGGGAAACTTTCTTCTTGACACCGTTACAAAATCCTGCGCAATGGCCCATCTTGCAAAGGACTTCCAACTCCACACACTCGGAATCTAGGCTATTGGCGCCCGCTGCTGGGGAGTTTGATCCCAGACCCTGTGTGTATATATCTATATCTATATCTATATCTATATCTATGTCTATCCACTCTTTCCACTCTTTCGGGCATAGGGTCGATTCGACGCAGCCCTTTAGGTTGCAGATTAATTAAGAAAGGTGAAACAAGTCAGCCGGCTCGTCAACCTGTCCAGCCCATAAGGCCACGGAACCTTCCTGTCGGGTGTGCCGGACACCTGGCATGCGAAGGATGGTCTCGATGTCCACGCTTTTGCGATCAGGGACTTTGAGATACGCACGTATCCCGTTAGTCCAACAGCGCACGGCGCATCGGGTAATATCGCAGGCGAGGCGTATCGACTGGAGCGCAAGGTCAGCCTTCTTGGCAGGGACACTATCGGTTGACGAGGGAGTATTGAGCCCGAGCAGGTCAAAGCAAAAACCACAACCTCTATCTATTTCTTCAAGAAAGTCGGGAGTGGTGCCTGATGCTAGCACTGTCAGGGACTCCTCATGGCTGTAAAGCAGGGGAGTGCGGCCATATGCGGTCAAGATCTTGAGAGCAGGTGTTGCGCCAACAGCAACGAGCACATGATCCTTCGTCCAAGCATCAGGATATGGCAGGTTGATGGCGAGCAGATCTGCCTCGCACAGGGGCCCAATGGCGGGACCGGAGACATGTGCTTTCCTGGAGTCCTCGTCCGTGCCGGGAACAAGGGCTGAGACAAGGTCAGTCTCACGCAACCAAGAGAGCACACGGTGTACTTTGGCATGGGACTCCTGGGATCGGTTCAGCGCTCCCACACCTTCCCCCTTCTCCCAGACATCGAGGGTGACTCTCAACCTTTGGATAGGGAGGCAAACACAGGACATGGAAATTCTGATGCGGTCCCAAATTTCGTCGTCGGTCATGGTCGCGAGTCCTCCATCAAAGTCAATTTGGGCAAGGCAATCCAACACTTCAGCTGAAGGTCTGTTCATCTCATCATCAAGGTGACCATCAAGCTCCTGCGGGCATGGACCTTCGGCCTGGAGGGTTGGGGCGCAAAAGAGGTGCTCTTTCGGAGCTTTGCGGCTGCCTACACCGGGAGCAGGGTGAACTCTTTCCCCGCGGTTCAAAAGGGCACGCCTACATGCATCAGAATGTCGTACATGTCGACACAGTCTGACAGTGGTGGCGTAGTGACGCATGCAATGAGGGCATTGTGTGCCCTCAACAAGCGATCGCACTTCATCCTTGCGGCCGTGGCATTTGAAAGCATGCACCGACCAGGCACGCAAGTCTTGGAAAACAAGTTGGCACGGCGCACATACCTGTTGGCCCGTATGGCTGTGCGGGGAGGCAGCATTGAAGCGCGCACCAGCGCGGCATAGCTGCCTAGTTAGCAGCCCAATATGCCGCTCATATGCGGCCTGTCTTGCCTCGCCATCTACGGCTGCCCTAAGTGCTCTGCGAACCCTGGACTTCCATTTCCCGGGAGCCCGTCGACATTCATCTATCCAATGCGACCATGAGGAGTGGAAGTCCTCCTCCGCGCCTGAATTGCGCGTCAAGTCCCACATCCAACGGACGGAAGAGCGTATGAGTCCCAGCCAGCCGCGTTCCCAATGCGCAAGCGCCCATATTTCCTTCACATCGAGACGGACACACGACAGCAGGTACCTCAGCCTTGAGACATGGAGGTAAGTGGAAGCACGCGGAATCTTCGCGGCCGCAATGGCCTGTGCTGTGCCAAGGTGCCAGGCCTCTTCACACGTATACCTCGGTGTAAGCATCTGGCAAGCCATCTGCCTAAGCACTGCATCCAGGGAGTCTAAATGAACTGATGTCACCCCAGTCCATGTGCCCGCTCCGTGGAAAAGGACCGTGGAGACCAAGCTGTCGAAGAGCAGCGCTTTATCGGCAATGGAAACCAAGGTCGATCTGAAGACCTTTTTTCGGCGGCGATTGAAAGCCTCCCATGCCTGAGCACATCGGAAGGAGATCTCATGGCTGAGCCCCCCATTGTGTTGGAGAAAGCCCCCAAGATGCCTGTAGACCGGAACAATGCGGAGTCTGGCTCCAGTCCACATGCGGCAGGAAAGGGGGATTTCGCCCTGACCTTCTCCAAAAATTTTCCGACGTTCGCGCCGCGCACCCTTGTTGTGCAGCTGCACGATTGCTTCGGTCTTCCCCTTGGCCAAGTTGGGGACCAGAGCCCGTTGGAGACATGCATCTATCAAAGATGAAGCCCCAAAATCAAGAGCACGGATAAGTGACTGTGCATCTGGCGAGATGAGAAACATCGAGAGGTCATCCATCCAGGTCGCATCGGATAACCCAATCTCATTCGCTGCGGGTTGCTCCAGTGGCTCCAGCTTGCAATGCATCTCTTGGCTCCATGGGATGCGGGCTAAAAGCGCAGCATCGACCAGGGCTTGCCTTACTTGCCGGAGGACCTTCGCGAATAAAAAGGAGAAGACTAGGTCCGAAAGGGAGTCCCCCGGTCTGGATCCTGTCCTCGTCACAACAACCTCCGGCTCGTCTGGTAACCTGAACCATGTGTCTTGAAGGGACTCGGCGACTGCACCGTCTGCCCATTCGCTCGAACCAGCCTCTTTGACGAGTGAAGGGCCACCCAGGAAAGAATGCAACTCATGCATCGTATTGGGTGGAAGCTGGACAGCGGAGCAGATACGTGCTACCTCCTCGTCACTCGGCTGGTCTCCCGTGATGAGGGGGCGAATGATGCGGTAAAATGCTTCCTGGAGGTCAAGGAAAAGCAGGGAGTGCGATAGCCTTCTGGAGTGACAGGCTCTGTGTGAGGGCGCTGGTGCACCGGCCTCGCACGGTTTTATGCAGAGCCTTCCCAAGAACCGACGACACTAAAATCCCCCTATAAGAGCTGCAAGACTGTTTGGGACCCTTATGCTTCCAAATGAAGTAAAGCGTTCCACCCTTGTGCTGTATGGGCTCACAGAGGCGAAAGGCTGATTTCAAGAGGAGCTGGTAGGCCACCTTGGAAAGGAAAGGGGCCCCATGATGTAGAACTTCACCAGGGATACCGTCTAACCCATAGGCACGCTCGGTGTTTGCAGCTCTGAGTGCTGCTTCAAGTTCAACAAGGTTGGGCACATCAAGCGGGGACACCGTATATCCAGAAAGGTCCTTCGCATCTTGGCGATGGTAACACGCGTGGACAAAAGCAACGGGGTCCTGCACATGACCGTCCTCGATGGCAGAAAAGTGAGATATCCATTTCTCTTTTGACTCCTGATGAGTCAGGGCCAAGCGTCCAGGGGATACCTCGATGGAAGGTAGTGGAGTGGGACCACGTTGCTTCCGCTTGGGACCCCCGGTAAGAGCCCGCAGCTTCTGCACGGTATCTTTGGTGGTAGCGGATGTCGCTTGGACAGCGACTTCATGGATGTAAGCTCGAGTATCCTCGCGTATACGCGTCCGCAGCTGCTTGCTAGTGGCGCGGAGTGCTGTCAGGTGGCCCGGCAGCTCACGGAGGCCTCGTAACCACCTACTCCAAAGCCTGTGGCAAGGCTGCCACAATCGACACGAGCATCTCCAGGAGCGTAGGGCAAAGGTCAATGAAAAGCATTTGCCGAAGTGTGAGGCTGAGTGAACACGCTTGCGCAGCCATGCACGTTGGTTGCGTAGCTGCCACGTCTCCGGCTGAAAGTATGACCGTCGCTGTTGTGTGCGCGGTGCTGGAAAAGCAAGTGGCAGTGTGCTGCGGAAATGATTTTCGATGTAGGCGGCGTGTCGATGAACGTCCAGAGCCCACGGTTGGGGCTCAAGTGCTTGGCACAGCTGTTTGATCTTTTCCTTCCCTTCCGCGGTGCCCATGGCTTGCGTATCAAGCTTGGTTCTCCGCCCTGAACTCTTGGGCTCAATGCGGAGCGCAGCGTTGGTTCTCAGCCACAAAGCATAGTGGTCTATGCGCGCTTGGCCCCATTCAAGCTCATGAATCACTGCGCTGTGGCCAGCTGCGACCTGCCAAATTGACGGTATGGCGATGTAGTCGAGCCTGGATGTGGTGGTCCCACCTGGGGACTGCCATGTTGCCGACGGCCCCGGATGGCAACAAGAGAATGTGCTGGGTATCCACAGTTCGGCATCCTCTAGCAAGTTCCAGAAGGCCTGTGGGGGTGGAGTGGCAGTATGCCACGTCAGATCCCCAACCCGTCCCTCTTGTCCATGGTGCAGGTGCAAATTGAAGTCACCTAGAAGCACAATCTGTGCCCCCTGTCGCAGTCGACCAATCAACAGGCGGAAATCTTGCCACCACTGATTGCG